CAACATCCAGAGACGTGAGGTACTCAGGGCGGATCTCATCCACCCCTGGTGCGTTTCCACCGAGAAGCTTCTCAGCTACCTTGGTGACTTCAGCTTGGGTAATGGACGAGTCCACCTCTGAGCCCCCGGCCTCTGCTTCCTCATCGGAAGACATGACGCTGGGGTTGAGGAGATCCTTGAAGTATTCCTTCCACCGTTTGACGATGTCCCCAGTCGAGGTCAACAACTGCCCACTTCCACTGTAAACAGTTTTGGCAGGGCACTGCTTCCCCCTCCTGAGGCGCCAAGACGGTTTGCCAGATTTTGTTCGAGGTCGACTGATAGTCCCTCCATGGCCTCACCGAGGCCCGGAAACAAGTCTGACTTACTGCCGGGATTCGGACTCAATGTCTCCAGTCTCCCTCAGGATCTGGTTGAAGTTCTGCCGGAGGTGGAGTTAAAGGTCTCCCGGACAGGGGGTTCTGCCAGAAGTTCCCAACAGATCCTCACAATATGTTTGGGTGTGCCGAGTCTTCCAGCGTCCTCCTCTGGTACAAGTCCTGTGTGGGTGTAGGAGTGAAGTCAGGTCTACAGGGTCATCAGGTGGGCACCCTCCCACTAACTGGTGTTTCACTGAGTTGAGCCCATGGCACAGAGAAAGCTCAGTGTGCCACCAGGTGGTGATCCACCCCTCTCTTCACCCGAGTGTCCAAGACATATGGCCGGAGGTCAGATGAAACAACCACAAAGTTGATAATCGACCGCCGACCTAGGGTGTCCTGGTGCCACATGCACTGGTGGACACCCTTATGCTTGAGCATGGTGTTCATTATGGACAAACTCTGACTAGCACAGAAGTCCAGTAACAGGACACCGCTCGGGTTCAGATCGGGGGGGGCGTTCCTCCCAATCACGCCCCTGCAGGTATCACTGTCGTCGCCCACAGGAGCGTTGAAGTCCCCCAGTAGAACAGCGGAGTCCCCAGTCGGAGCACTTTCCAGCACCCCTCCCAGAGACTCCAAGAAGGCCGGGTACTCTGCGCTGCTGTTCGGCCCATATGCACAAATGACAGTGAGAGACCTATCCCCGGCCCGAAGGCACAGGGAAACGACCCTCTCGTTCACCGGGGTAAACTCCAACACACGGCGGCTAAGCTGGGGGGGCTATAAACAATCCCACACCAGCCCGCCTCCTCTCAACGCGGGTAACTCCAGATAAGGGGTTTTAGTCTATAGTAATATATAAATAAATATAATTACATAGGCTATATTTATGGAGTATGAAAAGACCAGTAAATATGGTTGTACGTGAAATCAGCGGAGACTGAGGACAACATTTCCTAAGCCCACATAATAACCGCTAAGCTTCTTTACTGCCCTTCTTACGTGCACCACAGGATTAATTAAACTAACCGGAAGTGTTTGGTGCGCATTTGTTTAACGTCCGGTGTGAAGGCGGACAGCTAGCGGACTGTAAACACTACTTAGCTGTTAGTTCACGCAGCTAACCTGATATTAGAGTAGTGCTTAACAGTGAACAACAAGTTTGCAGTAACAGAAGAAGAATGGGTATGTAGTGATAGCGTTTACTATTTAATCAACTGTATATTAATCAGGTCTGGTATGCAATTTGTCAGTCCTGTTAGCAAACGCTACGGTCTGTGGACCGTTTTGATCCAAACTCCATATTAAAAACTGGCATTTTTATTATACTTTGGCTTGTGGGAAATATAAATACTTATTAGAACATGTCTTAACAGTTATTATGAATTGGTAGTAGTTGCAAAATAATTTGGCATGTGTGTCACACGTTTAAACCAAGCAGCTTTTAGTTTATTAAAAGTAATTTAAAAATACATAACGTTACCCTAGCCTAGCGTTCACAGTTAATTAGTGTGCTGTCATAACTAGCAAGCACCGGTTTCTCTCCTGCAAGTTACACTTCATTTTGACGTTATAGTTTTAATTTGCATTCAGAGTTGCATGGATTCCTTCATCAGTACCCCGATCTTAAAACGAAAATTATTCAGCATTAATTCGGGCCACTGGCAGTGGTTCCCAACCAAATTCCATGCTAAAAGTTCTAAATTCTGACCTTTGTGGGATACAATCTAAGGGGTCAATTAAATTATAAAATTCATGCTATACGTACAACCAAAAAAAGATTCTGTATTTCGATAAGTGGAGTAAAACTATGGAATAATTTAGGTATGGACATAAAAAGCAGTAAAAATATTGATGAGTTTAAACACAGATATAAAGGTATGTGTCAATCAAGATATATGCAAGAACAGGCTTAATGATGGTAATGTGGATGTAGAATATGTATCCATGTAGTAAAACTGCTTGCAAACCAATGATGATAAGATGATGTTAGGGGGTAGGACTGGATAAGTCTGACTTCTTCCTACCCCGTTCAAGCATGTACTAGGTATAAGCAAATTGAAAATATTTTTGTGGACATGTCTGGAATTATGTGTGATTACATACTGACTGTTGTTACATGTTTGAAAGAATAAATAAATCAGATCAAATCAAATCAACAGTCAAATGTGATGGCAGATGATAACAGGGATTGTTAAAAATTTGCATGTTCAAAAGAAGACATATTTGTTCTTATTTAATCATTGTCTTAAAATCAGTTGAGTAGTTTTTTCTTACTCACTAACATCTAACGAAAACTTAATTAGTGCAATCTTTATTTAAGGGAGTTGACCAAATCCTATTCCCAGCCAAACTCTGTGCTGAGAAGTCCACACTCTGACTTTTGTGAGAACAGGCAAATGTGAAATTAACTTAATTTTGTGACATTTTTACAGACATTTGGTTGGATTTGGTGCTGAATTGAATGCCAGTTTGTAGTTATTTAGTAAATGTACTCAGTTTTAAGTATTGCTTGCTCCCTACTAAACAACAAAACATTAAATATTACTATTTTTAATGGAGTTTGGCTAGATTCCATTTACAGACTCCACACTCTGTAGCCAGAAATAAGAAGCAGTTTATTAGTTAATATGCTGTCAGATTTGAGTGACAAACCACTGTATTAATTAAAGTTTGTTGGTCTAATTATTTAAAATCAGTGAAACATTTTAAGAGTAATAATGACTGCTTTGCATTAAGATGTAGAACCGTACGTACAGCTCTACTTTCTAATGTGTTAAGGGTGTATTAAAATAATGGTAATATTAAACAAATATGTTTTTGGATAGTCATTTATCTAGAAATATGCCAAACCTCTAAATACAGATTAATATATTTTTCTCTCTCAATCCCATGTAGTCTTTAACTGAGAGCTGAATGGTGACAATACGTTTTTCCTAATAGAGAAAGCTCTGGTGTTACTAATAACATTAACAGCGGCTCTGTTATGTTCAAGTGTCCGATTGAACTAACAGGAACATCACAAGGACCCTGATGCTGCAGCTAAATGGGATTCAGCCCTCATTAATGTTATTATGAATAACACCTGTGCTGTTCCTGCTGTGACATGTCAAACATCCTCTGATGTTCCTCCGCAGCCTCCCCTCTCCCTCTGTCCTCCCTGCGTCTCCTCATCCCTCCTCTCCGCCTGCTGACGGCAGCAATGTGGCAGGTCACTCGGCAGCAGAACCTGAAGCATTATGGGATGCTAGAAGACTTTATTTCCCTGGTAACTGAGGCCATCCCACAGCTGCTGACGGATAGCCAGAGGAGCCTGCTGCTGCTGGCTCTGAGGGCCAAGGTCTGTATTTTATCCTCTTCATCCGAAGCACTAGGGTGTGAAACATGCTCTTGCTATTGTGCCATAGTGGTTTGTTGAACTGTACACCAGAGGGACCCTCATACACATTAAAAAACTGATTTGTATCTGCTTGTACTTGTCTGGATAAAGAGCAGCTCACATTTATTCAGTTGTAATTACAATATTTACAGTGTGATAGGATTCTGTTAGTTTTTGAGTTTTCTTATTCGGTGATTTTCTCTGAGGCCAACAGCATCAGTGAGTGTGGTGTCCTCACTGTAATGTGTGTGAGTCCAGACCTTGGTTCAGCTTATTGGTTTGTGCTGTAGACCTCCACTGTTCCAGCCACTCCACCCCCCCAGCGAGCCAAACCGCTGCACTGGGTGTGAAAGTCCAGTTAGACATTGTAACTTAATTAAAACAAATTGTACAGCTGAGAACAACACTTTGACTCTGTTGTTGCTCCAGGTGACCCTCTGTGATCTGGACCCACAGACCGCCCACACTCATCTGGACAGGATCCGCTCCATCTCCAGCACACTGGTATGTGTATAAATACATGTGTATTGTTATTAAAGAAATTTCAAAGTCCTGGATTGCTGCAGTTCTGTAGCTCCTCCTTTTATTAAATATATGCCAGTAATCAGAACATTGACACAGTGAGGGTATGCAAAGCAGCAAAACATATACAGAATAAATAACAGAAGATAAATGTACTTGGCTGTGTCTGTGTCGACTCATTGTTGTAGCTCTAATCATTTTGTGACTTTGAGTTGACGAGGACACATGACCAGCTTGCAAACAATCATGGGATACCCGATATATTATTATGTTGGGTTTCCATTTACTGGTGTAATAATGGCTTGTATGGAATCCTTTGGGGTGGTTCTCTATTGAAAAGGAGATTTTAGTCTCAAAGAGACTTTTACCTGCTTAAATTTAAAAAAGATGATCACATAGATAAGTTTTATTGTCATTATACTCCCCTGTTATAAGAGAGCAATACAATGAAATTTTGAAGGCACACTCTGTGTCAATAATACACAATTAAATGTGCCAAAGAATGGGAGAGCATTCATATGGAAGCTAACTTAAATGATGTTTACCCATTATTTGGCCCCAGAGAGGGGGGTGTCAGGCCATGCCATCATACATCTTCAGAGCCCCACAATAAGCAACACCATTTTCCAGACCTAACCTACCCTTAACACAGTGCATCCCTGAACCCTATCCTCACCCAAACAAAGAGCAGATATGTGGCTTAACATGCAGTGCCTGCATTGTATTTGCTCAGGTTTAGCAATGGCTGGTCCAACTGGCTTGTAGTGGCAGTCACCTCTGAGAGCCAGGTCTGCTCAGTTGTCCAATCACTGACACTATTCTACAAAGATCGTCTCTCAAAAGAAGACCTCTTAACAATTCCAGTCAGTCTGTAACTGTATTATCACCAACAATGGTAAAAGTCCTGTGTGGGTGTAGGAGTGAAGTCAGGTCTACAGGGTCATCAGGTGGGCACCCTCTCACTAACTGGTGTTTCACTGAGTTGGGCCCATGGCACCAAGAAAGCTCAGTGTGCTCCAGCATCCAAGAACCACCGTCCTTTGCCTGCATCCACACACCCAACACAACCCTTCATCTACTCAGGCTAATTCAGGCTAACTGTTACCAAACAGTCACTAGCACTAGCAAACATTTCAATTGCTGTTCTAGCCACCAAATATTTCAGATAGCTCACCAGACAACTAGCCAACCTTCTGCTTCTTTTTATACAGCATCTGAAACCACACGGTATTAGTATTCATTCTAGCAAACTGCTATGTTAGCTTGCTCATGCTAACACCAGGAAGTAGGCCTCAAGCCTGCTGCATGTATCAAACACTGTTACTAAGCCTGTCCTCCTGTGCTGGTTTACTTCAGTTTAATATAATTCTCATATACAGTATATTGTCATTTATAAATCACTTGCCTATTTTTACTCTGTTCACACACCTTTTTTCTGCCCCAGATCCACTCACTGGACCTTGTTAAGCTATCAGCTAGGTTCCTAATTAAAGCAATTTAAAACATTACCGTGTTTTAAAAATAAAAATAAATAAGTACAATGCAAAAATGCATAACATACTAAAAGCAGCAACAGAAGGCACATAATAAAATTGTTTGAACATCTGTTTCTGTGAGCCTTTTAGAGTGCTTTATATGTCCCCCAGTCATTCATCATTAGAGGTGTTAAGTAGTAAATTATTCAGCCAGGTAAAGACAGTATGATTTACAAAATCTGGAGTGTGAAGGAGGTGCAGCTTGAAGTGTGACTGGGTCTGTGTTTCCCCACAGCCGGACCCAGAGGTCAATAGCATGTGGTCAGCTCTGTTGACTCTGATAGATAAAGTGATGCAGAGTCCAGCGGACAGGCAGCGCCTCCTGCAGGTCAGTGCCTTCAAACATCAGCACACAGGCATTATTGTACAGTGTTAGTCGGTACATCTCATGTCTCTTATAAGTACCATCATTTCACTCATTTGCGTCTTTTCCTTCTGTCTTCATCCCGCATACATAAGATGCAATGAACATGTGCAAACAACACGTGAGGAGAGAGGACTCGAGGAAACACATTAACAACATAAGAGTTCCTTTCCTCAGATCCTTCACCTGAAGTGTCCAATCATCAACTGATTTAAGATAAAGGGGCGTGTCAATTCACAATAAAACATGGTCTTGTGTTTCCTTTGTCATGGCTCCTCCAGCACCATCCTCGCATCTCAGTCCTCAGAGTCAATATAAGAGACTTGGAACATCCTACATTGTTGGTCATACGACGTAGGAACAATCTTATAAGAGACATGAGATGTACCCAGTCTAACAGACTTGGTTTCTTCTCTCTCTCTGTTTGTCCGTCAGGAGGTGTTTAACCAGAGGTTTGACTCTGCTCTCCAGTCCCTTGTATCAGACCTCCTGTCCAGGATCGAACAGCTGTTCCCAGTGCCCGACTTTAAACAGGTGCTCAGTGGAGCCTTCCCCACATGCACACATAGTCAATATGTATAAATTGCAGGATATAAATGCAGTTGATTAAAGTGGAGTGTCTTTGCATGTAGGGTGTAGAGTGTGCAGGGTGAAAAGGTAAAATGGGTGATGCTTGATTTGATTTGATTTATTCTTTCAAACATGCAGAACAAATGACATCAACACACACATAATTACACAAATCCAACCAATGCTAATCTAGAATCAGTTTGCTGACCAGGTATAATGTTTAACACAGGGACAAAGGAGGCATTGAATCATTGTAAAACATTTGTGTTGAAAACAGCATCAGACTTGGTCAGATGTTGAGAGCTGCTGGTGGTGCATTAGTGTGGATGGATTCAATCTGAGCTCATGATGAAACAGTTGGAACATGTGGTACAGCAGCTTTCATTATTGTTATTTTGTTTGGTAAAGATGGACGTACTGAGCTAGAGTTTTTTTTTTTTTTTCTAGCTGTGCGATGCCTCCCTGATAAAGCCGTGATGGCATGGTCATGTTGAAGTGAGGCATGTTGAGTGTCTTGTTCGAGCATAACTTATCTAGTTTCTTGCAGCAGATTTTACAAATATGTCCACTCAGTAGTGCTTTGGCTGTCTCCCTCAGGCTGCTTCCTGGCTTGATGCTGCCTCTGGTGGTGTGGAGGAATGTCTGCAGGAGCCGGACAGGGAGGATCTGAAGGAGCTGTTGACCAGTCAGAGCTGTTTACTGGGACAAGTGCCCATCACAGGTACAGAAGAAAAGCTTTTCTGTTTTTTTCCTTATTATTCATTAGTTATCTAATACATTTTTTTTTTATCTTCAGCGGGTTGTGACACAGAGAAGATCCTCCTGTCAGCCTGGTCCCACCCTCTCTTAACCAAACTGACCAATCCTGACCCTCCCCCTACCGATACAGAGGCCCAGTCAAATGCTTTCCCTGACGTGGCTAGCCCTGTCCAGCTGGATGTGGAGCTGGTAAAGGTAGAGGTGGTGGTGATGACAGAGGACAAACAGGACAATGTAGAGGAGAGACTGATTGGTCAGACTGTGTCACCAGTGGAGCAGGAGACGTCCAGTGAGAGTTCAGCATGTTCAGTCACACCTGTGATCCTGGAGGTGGACAGGTGAGAGACATTTCTTTTTCTTTTTTCCAGTTTAATTGCTGGATCCCCTAAAGTCCACACACCATTCTGGTAGTGCTGTATTTAAAAAAAAAAAGACTCAAAACTTAAAGCTGATTTGTAGCATAATCTGAGCAAAGTTTCCAGGGAATTAGCTGCAAAATACAGGACCCATAAAACAAAGCCTTAATCACTGTTTTCTGTCAGGTTGAAGGAGTCACCAGGAAACTTGGCTGACCAATCAGAAGCCACAGGTAAAACACAAATACACAGCAATGAACTGAACAAACTCTTTCAGCATTTTATATAACTCCCACCTTCCTCTACAGTTGAGCAATCAGATCAGCCCTGTTCTGAGGTCACAGCCAATGCTCTGTACAGCATTTCCCATAATGCTCAGCGGGTGGCTCACAAGTGTCCTGGGTGTAGCAAGTGTTTCATCTACCGTTCTCAGGTGAGTGTTTCCACCTGCAGGAATACCACCTGTAGCTCTACTGTTAGCTGAGGAACACTTTGTGTTACAGATCTACTGTTTCCTGACAAGTTATTGACTTTAATTTTGATTATTAATAAAAGACATTGCTCCTTTTAAACTCCACTGAATATTTATAACTCATTCAGTTATCATTGACAACTTTTTGTTTGTTTGTGGACACTTTGCCGATATTTAACTCTCCCACATTTTGAATAAAAGCATCAAGGCTGTGCTACTTCCAATTGTTAATGTTCCAACCGATCACTCTGTTTTACCTGTAAATAAAGCCAGATAATGTGCCTTTTCTAGGAAACCTTTTATAAAATGATATTGAATTTAACTTACGGATGGTTCCCGAGCACACAGTTGCTAATATCAGCTTCATATTTACAGAGTGGTATCAAGCATCTTTAATTGCTAGCACTTACTCACAGTATGAAGCACTTGTACTGTAGCACTGTTACAGTGATTTGTTTAGTTCCTATGTGGAGTAAAATGCACCCCTTTGTAAGTTACGCTGGACAAAAAGCCAAATGAACATAATTATTTCTAACTCTCTTTTAAAAAACAGAATAAATGTATTTGCCAAAATGGTGTACTTGTCCTTGAACCCAGCTGTCACTAGTGCATTGAGGCGGTTAAAATAGGTAGACACAGTAGCAGCTGTAGTTGTAGTAGTAGGTGTACTGCAGTTTTAGTAGTGGTTGTACCAGTAGTCCAAGTAGCTCATTAGTGTAACTGTTTGCAGGTGATCCGTCACCTTCGTACCAAGAAGTCCTGCAGGTCAACCTTAACCATGGCGGGAGCCATGAACCTGCAGAGTCAACCTAGTGGTTGTGACAAGGAGCCCCACACCCCAGAGCTCTGCCTCCCGGAGCCCCACCCTGTCAGGACCCACTCCTGTTTCCAGTGCAACGCCGTCTTCAAAACCAGAGCCGAGCTCTTGTCACACCAGCGCAGCCACCGTGCCCGCCCAGTGTACCAATGCAGCCAGTGTGACAAGGAGTTCCATCACTTGTCCAGTCTGACCAATCACAAGCAGACCCACCTGGACAGAGGCGGGTTCAGCTGCAGCAGGTGTGATAAGGTGTTCAAGTCTTCCAAGGAGCGAGATGCCCACAGACAGCAGCACCGGCTGCCCGATCTCACCTGCACCGTGTGTGACGAGACGTTCAGCTCTCAGACGCAGCTGCTGCGGCACCTGCAGACTCACTCTGTGGAGGGAGCTGAGCCCCGCTACAACTGCCGCTTCTGTGACCAGACCTTCTCAGGTAACTCACACAGGGAAAGCTCGGGTCATAGCACTAGCACTGAGTCTGGGTTTGACAGTTTAATACTGACCTTGGAAACAGCAGATGGCAAAAAAAAATCTTAAACTCCAACTCAGACTTACTCAAGTCAGTTCAATTCAACTTTATTTGTATAACACCACATCACAACAAAAGTCATCTAAGGACACTTTACATACTAAGTTCTAGACCTTACTGTTATTATTTTTGAGAAAAACTCCTTTTAACAGAAGAAGCCTCTTGTGGACGGCCTTCTTCCTCAACCGGTTGTGAGTGGATAGAGGAGAGAGAGAAAACAAGAAAAGTAACAAGACACAACAACAAACATTCAAACACTGGTCAGGTTGATGTGGCTGGTGACTGTTCTTCAGAAATGTAGAGCTCCAGAGCCAGGACTACCTGTAGGAAGGTACAGGGAGAGAGAGAGAGAGGACATACTACGGGAGAGAGGAGACACACAGTTAGTGACATGTAATGTGGCATATAGATGGATGGAGGGGGGAGGAGCAGAGAGGAGATACTCAGAGCATCCTGGGGCCCCCAGTAGCCTAGGCGTGTAGCAGCATAACAAAGGGAAGCTCAGGGTCACCTGATCCAAATGATTTGACAAAAAAGCCAAATTATATTGATCGTGACTGATTTATAAAATCAATGAAAGGGTAAAACATCCAACGGGGTGAATACTTTTTATAGGCACTGTATGCTGGTCAAAAATGACCCTCACAGCAGTACTGGAGGCCAGAGCTCTTTCATCTAGATCAGGCGTGCCCAATACGTCGATCGCAATCGACCAGTAGATTGCGAAGGTAGTGTCGGTAGATCTCGTGCCATTCAAAAATAAATTAAATGTATCCGGCGTAAAACACGTGCCAAATGTTAACATGCGAATGGTCAGTGTGATGATTTGCTATGGCAACCCCTAACAACAAAAGCAGAAAGTGCCAATCATTCACATATAGCCTATCATCCATCCTCCCTATTGCATTTGCTACTTGATTGACATGCAGGCAGCCAGTCTGAGATCTCGTCTTTTCTGACACACAAGTCACCAAACATGCACAGTCAACAGCACGAGCTACGGCAAAACTCCAGTGAGCGAACTAACTTGTCAGCCTTCAAATTAATGTCTACTAAAGGGTATAAAATGAGTGGGGGAGCCGAATCAAGTAAGAAACCGAAAACATTCCATGTGGAATGGGAGGACTTTTTTTTCGCGACATTATATTCGAAATGCGTTTGCTTGATCTACCAATCTACTATTCCAAAGGGAAATGTGGAGCGGCACTTTCAGACTGTTCATAAAAACTACGACACTCATTCATACATTTATTTTGCGTGTGCGCGCGTGCATAGGTCGATTATTTTGACTTCGTAATTTGAAAAGTAGCTCGCAAGGCGAAAAAGTGTGGGCACCCCTGCTATAGAGTAACTATATGGTCCTGTTCATGACGACAAAGAGAAATCTCTAGTGGCTAAGGTTTGATGTGAACTAAATTAGTTCAGGCAAATCATCCCAATAATTATTTATTATTACAATAATTCAAAGCAGTCCAATAATTTGAAAGATAGAGAACAGAATCACCATCTCTGAATAACAAATAAACAAAAGTATTAGATATGAGAGTCAAAGAATCAGTAATTGTTGACCATACAGTACAGTCAGAGTCGAGAGTCGGGTCAGTCCCCTCCTGGCCTGGTTCTTGCTTTTCGTCTGTCTTTCCCGAACACGCACACTCTACCTATCCAACTCTGTTGCTAACTTTATTCCCAGCTCTCGCTTCCTGTCATGGTTCCCCCAAATGTGTCAACCCTTAGATTTGCTTCTCTTTTCGAAAACATCCTGTAAGTTGTTCTGACTAAGCATAAGACTTCTGACCTCTCCCAGAGAGCAGCGCACATTTTGAAGAACAAAAGGTCAATGCAATGCCTTTTGCTGCTTTTACACAAGCACTTTTTTAACTCACACTATAACCCATGTTATTGTGTTTTACTTCACATTACATGTTATACATTAACTGTTACTATATTCTGTTTGTTTGTTTCATCCACTACATTAGACAGCAGATTTCTGAGGCTTTCAGGCCCAAGTACAATAACTTCAGTTTTGTGTGAGTTTAAAAGTAAAAAATTACAGGTCATCCAGGTCTTTATGTCTTTAAGACATGCTTGAAGTTTGACCAACTGATCTGATTCATCATAGATAAAAGTAATTGAGTATCATTTACGTAGCGATGGAAATTTATGTTGTTTCCAGATTAAATTACTATAAACTCACTTTGCTGATGATGGTTGTGTGATAAATTTCAAAGCTCCAGAATGAGCAATTAAGTTACAGTAAGTGGAAAAAAATTTTTCTAATCACCAAACCTTATTGATTAGCTGTTGTGTGTTCCCCCGCCCTCCAGGAGTGACCCAGCTTCGCATCCACCAGCGCACACACACTTTCCGCTCCTATCAGTGTGATCAGTGCAACAAGACGTATCCCACCGGCCCCCCCCCCCCCCCCCCGGGAAAACCCCCCCCAGCGCCAGCCGCTTCCTGTGTCCGCAGTGTGGCAAATGCTTCAAGACTCGCGATGGGCTGGAGGGCCACCTAGGCATAGTGGCGAGCGACCCTACCGCTGCCCCTACTGCCCCAAAGACTTCACTGCGCTTGCTGGCCTCAATGTGCATGTGCGCCGGCACACTGGGGAGCGCCCGTATGTGTGCACAGTGTGCAGTAAGGGCTGGCCGTCTGGAGGCGACCTTCAGAAACACATGAGGATCCACACAGGCGAACGGCCATATGTCTGCCAAGAGTGTGGCAAGGCCTTCTCCATCTCCTGCCACCTGACCGAACACCGGAGGATACACACCGGTAAGACATACACACATCAGCAACACTGCAGGATGTCTCCGAGTCTTAAAAGCAAGACATTCTTATAGCTGAGGATCCGAAACTATCAAGTTTTGTTTAAGCAGCAAATAATCAATTATTGACATTATCACATAAGTTGTGATTAAGTTTTTGTTGATCAACTAATCGAGTAATGGAATAAATGTTAACATCTGTGTGTTTGTCTGGTTTTCATTGATGTCTTTCATGTTTTGGCCAGTACGCTCATGAAGCTTTAAGTTTTTCTTCTTTGTGGAATTAAATGCTCATTTCCAGACATTTAATGTTTAATCCTGGGTACCTCTAGATTAGCTTTGCACCCATCATAACTCCAAATACTCTGTAATTATTTCAGAATGATAAAACTCAATATCACAAGGAGAGCCTCCTCCTGAAAATGAGAGGATAGTTCGTTAAAACACACACTCCTTTTGCTGGTCAGGAAGCTACGACAACATATTAACAAAAAACTGACAAATAAGCTATGTTTTCAAAAATGACAGTACCTCAAACCCTACTTGACATGTTTGAGCCACAATATGAAAGTGGAACAGCATTAATTAATTTGAATTTCTCATTCATAAATAGGTAAACAATGGCTTATGTACAATAGACTTACTGTTACTTCCCTCTGAGTAGTGGAAACATCACTCTCTTTCATGTAGCTCCAAGGTCAGTAAATCCAACCGGTAATTGCTGCGTCTTCCCCCACAGGACCACATACAGTCCAAAAGTAGTGAAATTAATTCCAACAGGTAGTTTAGCGTGGCTTCACTGGCTGGCTGCTTGTAGGTTAGGCTCAGTCAGGTAAAACAGCAAGTCCCTGTACAGGAACATTCCCAGACATGTAGTAACTTCAGGCCTTGTATTTTTCTCCACATCCTCTGGTCACAGTGCAGCAGCAAGAGGGAAAATATATCCACAAAACCGGGAGCAGTTGAAAAATTCCACTGTGAATGTCTTTTGTTTTTTTTTGTTGTTGTTTTTTTCTTATAAACTTTATTGAAAATACACATAACAAACAAGGTAACATTTTGCCAATATGGTGGGTGCACTGGTGGATGTCAGGCAAGCTCACATGAACGTGCAATGGCCTGGAAATTATGCCCATTCAAGGAAATCCTTAAACTATGACGTAATACTTTTTTTTTCTTTTAGAAAAAAGTCTTGTGGGTGAGAGTTTGTGAGACGTGTATAAACTGAGTTGCTTCTGCATGGAAGTACTAGAACGTGTGTTTGCATCATTTTTTGAGCTTTAGGTCATGTCTAAGATGATAATTCACAGTTTTAACATTGTAGATAAGTCAGAAAACAAGGAAAAGCATCATGGGCTCTTTAAATTTTATGTGATTTATAGTGTTACATTTTCAGCCTCTTGCTGTTTGACAGATCTGTGGTCTGTGTGTGTCAGATTCTTTCACCTCTCTTCAGCACATTTGTGACCTGACACATTGTTTGACTGCAAAATTGATAGAAAATGAATAATTCCGGGGGACAAATGACTGAACTGAGGGACTGCAATAAGAACATAAGAATATTGGGAATTATTTGTAATATGACAGTGGAAATTACTCATTTGAAGGGATGTTTGATCTATATTTTTTTTTTAGCCCAGTCTCTGTATAATCCTGCCTCTGTGTGTGTGTTTGTGTCATCCAGGAGAGAAGCCCTTCACGTGTCCTGAATGTGGTAAATGTTTACGGAGGAAGTTTGACCTGAAGAAACACATGTTGTCTCACAGCAGTGTTCGTCCTTACGCCTGTCCATATTGTCCGAAGAGCTACACCCGTAAAACTCATCTCAACAGACACCTGCTAACACACAGGACTGCTGGTAGTGATGTGGTGGTGGAGATGGGTGACGACGCTTGAGATCTTTTCTCCATTTGTTAAACTGAGAATCTGTTTTGTTGCACACATGGTGCATTCTCCACTACTGCTGGATACAGAAACTGGCTTTTCTTCAGTGTTTCATGAACTTCAAATCTCACCTGGACTTTCTGTTCCTGTTGATTGTTTTCCAGACCATCCATCAGTTTTTACACGGATCTCAGTCTATGATAATCAGTATTTGTCACATTTATTAGTTACGCTGTGAAGGTGCGGTGATGCAGAGGAACAACATTTAACAGCATCAGTGTGCAGGGGTTAGCTCAGCAGCTAATATGCACCCATGGTCTTGACAAAACTAAAAATTGACCAATGAAAAAAAGCATTAAAATTATTGAAAGTTATGCTATAGCATTAACTGATTGAAAGAGAAGTCAGTGACAATAATTTTGTTATTAATTCAGGAGAGGAGAGACTGAATGTTCAATAAGAGTTTCATTACCATCAGAGCTTAATGAATCTTGGGTGTTTTACCAGCCTGATTACAACACTGTCAGCAGTCCTGAACAGCAGTTGCCACACTCAATGCTGCTAAAATATAATATGCCTGTGTGTGGGGGGGTCTGTTATTTATTTCCTTTTTCTAGCGGTTAAGTTTTTTTTATATGGTTTTATTTCATATGTTTTTTTTTTTTTTTTTTTTTTTTTTCTGTCCCTTTTCACTGCTGCATCACCACACAGCGATATGTAACTTGGATGGAAAAAAAAACTGGGATGCAGGAGTTTGGTTTTAGACGTTTGGTGACTTCTACCAACCAAAAAAGGAACATGCAGTATCCTGTATGGATAGGTGCTCATAATTGTTTGGGTTTCAGACGTGCCAGGTCAGATATATCAAAGAGACTCTTAAGTGTGACCTGAGTACTGTTGACTTGAATCTGAAATGACTGGACTGTGACCAACATGTAGCAGGATTTGATTTGGTCAGAGAGGTCACTGTCAATCACTGTAACAGCCTAATGATGTTAGATCTCTGTTGTCATGTCATTAATGTGTCCTTGTGTATGTCCACCGCTGGCCGACCGACTGCAGGAGAAGCTGGGCAATCACATGCTCACACTGTAAAACAATAACTGTTATTTCCTTGTATTTGTAAGACACTCCCACTAAACCTCCTGGTCAACTAATGATTACTAGACTGATGCTGCGTTGTTTGTGTTGTCATGGAGGTTTTGTATCTGTGCTTTGCTTCTTTAAAAGCTGTTCAGTAAAATGTTCACATGTGACTTGTAACGGCTTATTTTCACAGGTTTTATTTGTCCAAACAACTGAACATAATCAGGTAAGCATGTTAGGTAGCATGTGAACAAGCTTTATTAGCAGTGTGTTGCTTGACAGGGAGAACGGGAGGTGATGAACATATGTCTAATTCACTGCTTCTTCTGACTTGTCAATAACTTTCTTCATCCACTTGCCCAGCCTGAACAGGTGCGTGTAGAAGCCGTACTTCCCATCTCGGTCGCAGCCCTCACCCCACGACACAATGCCTATCTGATACCAGCGGTTCTCAGCCGGGTACTGGACAGAGAAGCAAATTAAAATGTGGCGAATCATTACAAAGGTAATAACAGAGCGGTTTTTCTGTAGCACTTCACATTAGGTTGCTTATAAGCAGTAGAGACATTTTAATACATGGCTTGTGATGCAGTTGTAGCACTTTAAAGGAATAAGTTGATTAATTGATTTGACAGTTTTTAATAACAATTAGTTGAATGGGTCATTCTTTCTACCCTTTATGTTTTATGTGATAATAAACAGATATCTTTGGATTTTGGTTTGTTGAACTAAACAAGACAGAAGGCCTTAAATTGGGACTTTAGAAAATTATTTTCTTTATGTATTGTTTTTTTTTTCCATTTTGAAGACTAACAGTTAACTTAGTTATTAATCACTTAGCTGAGAAAATAATCTAGTGATTAATAACAACATGTCTAAGTGTCTGTTAATTTAGGTGGAGGACACTATAAACAGATAGTGAACACAGCTGTAGTAATATAGAATTTACCTTAGAAGTTGGAATTGTTAAATATATAAATAAATACTAAGTAATAAACAGTTAAAATGTCATTTGAGCTAATTCACAAATGCAGTATAGTGTGTTTTAGACCTTGTATTTTACAGATTGCAAATGAGAAGTACAATCATGTTACTGATTGCAATTGCTTTACTGTTATTGTCTTTTGTTGCTGTTTATATAGCATCACAGGAGGAGTTATTGTGAGACTTACAGCTACATTTTATTACACGTTACTGTGTCGACTAGCAGATGTAAAGTGTCATTGTTTACCTTCATCACAAATGGCCCGCCGCTGTCTCCCTCACAGGCGTCACCCCGCTGCGTGTCCTCTGGTTTAAAACCTGCACCACACAAACAGCCTGAATTTAAAGGGAAATTGCTTTGGAAACTCACTTGTTAACAAGAGTCTGCTGTTAACAGTTCATCCTGATTTGTCTGGAGCAAAGTGGTGGAGCAATTGTCCCCATCCTCCAAAAACTAAGCTGTCTGGTTTGTATGTTGTTCCTTATTTATTGAACAAAGAGTTACCAGCACAGAACATGTTGTCTGTGACTGCGACTGATGTGGAGCTGCGGCAGATGTCCTGCTCCACGATCGGTAGCTGGATTTGCTGAAGTACTGTGGGTAATTTTCTTGTTGCTGGGTTCCAGGTTTCCTTCAGGTTCCCCCAGCCACTCACCCGTCCCTTGTAGCCCCCGATCATCAGACTGGGGGAGGAAAGTCACCATTAGATGGCTCAGAAAACTCAGGCGCATAAAGGCCTCAATGTACAACAAACCATGGTGAAAGGCACCCAAGTGTTGATCATCAGTATCTGCATGAAGCACTTGTTCTCTGTGGAAATGTCATTGGATTTAAACTTTGAATGTTTCCAGGCAGAGAGAAGACTTCTGCTAGAGCATGAGAATACCTTCAGAAATTCAACACAAAGCTGGACAGCAGGTAACAAGTAATGTTTTCACCTTTGCCCTAAGGTTGATGTAGGAAACTGTGATGGCGTCACAGCTGGGGCTAAACTGAACCAACATTGCTTGTCCTCTACAGTTGAATGAGTCAATCTGTTTTGGTAAACTGAAGTTTTGTTTTGCATGGTTTCATGAAAGTCCCTGAATGCCCACATTAATTTGTTAATGGGATGACTAAAGGCAGGAGTATGTTTGCATCAAGCTGTGCCTGACCCCTCCACAGTTTTGATTTTGAGGTACTGCATCCAACAACTTTTGTACATCTCCATAATTGACAATCGCTCTGCACAACAAGTGGCTGGAATTGCTGAAAGGTTTTCATTTGCATTACTTTCCTTACTTCTTCTGTGAACAACTAAGTAAACCACCGTGAAACATGTTGTTGAGGAGAGTCTATCAGGAAAATGTGTCTGATTCGCGCTGTCACTTTCTAGCCAACCTTGGGACATGGGTTTCCAGAACCATGTTCAGACAGCAGGTCATACTTTCCAGAACCATGTTCAGACAGCAGGTGAGTAGTCGGTAGTATGTAGTCAGGCACATCCTGACCCAGCTCCCCACATCCGTGAGCTGAGCCCCATAAATGAAGCAGAACCTGAATTAGGACACTGCTTCTCTGTGACATCTGAAGCATGTTTCTTACTTTTGGGCAACCTCCTTGGTGGGCAGACAGATGGGAAAGATTTCATCTGTGAATCTGACGGGCCTTCTCATGTGCAGCAGAGCGATGTCACGGTTCAGATTTTCCTTCCAGTTGTACCTTGGATGGACGATGATTTTATCAATGGCCACGATCATCTCAATGCCACGCTCAAACCTGCAAAGTAATGTAAAAGTTCAGTGCAAGTCTAAGAAATCATTTAGTCCTTTAACAGGCAGGCTGCAGTGGCAGGATGTTAAGTACATTTACTTTATACTGAAGTAAAACTTTGTACTGGAGTATTTGCATTTTATTACCTTGTACACATGCTCCACTACAGTTTAGAGGGACATGTTGTTTTTATTCCACTGTATTTATTTGATAGCTGCAGGTTCATATAAGAATTAAATTTACATAATGAATCATACGTCTACATGAGAGTCCTTGTTACATTTCGGATGTCTGCAAATTCTTATCAGATCAGGTTAAGCTTGCCAATATGTCACAGTGATCTTAGGGAAACTGAAGAATGAATCCAGTTTTGTGCCTCCTGTCTTTATTTTTCTTTGTTCCTCACACCTTAACCATTACATGGCCCCTAGTTTGAGAAACATTGGACAAACTATATATGAAGTGTTAATGTAGCTCTGCATCGAACAGCTCCAGCAGTAAAATGCTGCTGAAGCATCAGTTTATCTGTGTTAATGTAGTTTATGATATAGTCAAAGGGCTGATTTTCTGCAGAATGAGTGTTCTTGATATTAGTTATAGTAGCAGGACTTTAAATGCAGGCCTTTTTGTGTAATGCAGCATTTTTGCAATGTTATACTGGTGCTTTTACATAAGAATCTGAGTACTTCCTCCACCAGTGACAGGCAGGCTTACTTGGCCCTGTTGTGTTTCCCCAGGCGCACCAGGATGTCGTTGCTGGTGAAGTTCTTTTGCCAGGGTGGGTAGAGGATGCAGTGAGCTGCAGTGAGGATCCACTGATCGCTGATCAAACTGGCACCACACAGCAGCTCCTGTGGGGTGCGCTTGTACAGCATCACCTGCCTGCAAACAATACAGTCAGTACCTCTCCAGGCAGTAATGTTATACTGTGGTACGCAGTGGTGGAATGCAACTAAATACATCTACTGTACTGGAAGTACAACTGTGAGGTACTTGTGCATTTAACAAGGTTACAGCTTCTTGTTAGTGTGGTTACCATGGTTACAGCTTGTTTTCAGTGGTTACCATGGTGACAGCTTGTTATGACTGTGGTTACTATGGTGATAGCCTCTTGTTGTTAGTGTGGTTACCATGGTGCTGAGGCCACCTCAGCATCATTGCCCCCGACGATGCGTTCCCCTCTGTACGACTCCAACAACTCATCCTCCTTTGCGTCCTTCTTGCCCTTCTTTTCAAACAGGGGGCGCTGTCCACACTCTGATTAAACCAGTCAGTACAATGGTGAGCCAGACTGTAAACCAGTTAACTAGACAGTAAACCTGTTAGCTAATCACCAAACCACAGAATAAGCTGATAACTGGTCAGTTAAGGCATCAGCCAGGCAGCAACTCTGTCTGTGTTCTAACCAGTTAAGTTTATGTTGGCACTCTGTCTGCCACTTAGCTGATTATCTGTGTAAGGGCATGGTGCTGTTACCTGACCGACTAATCAAGGGACGTACCACTCTCTCCTTGTCCGAAGGTACGAGGACTGAACATCATTTTCCTGGTGGGCGTGACGACGGAGCGCTCCATGCCTACAGTCTCTGTCATCAGTCCGTCATCAAACAATGGATCCTCTGGAAGACCGACAGGTGCACCGAGACAGGTGAGGCAGAGAGTTGCACCAGTAAAATAATCTGCCAATTTGTACTTGAAATACCCACCACAGAGCTCCAGGTCACAGTAGTCGATTGTCACATTTCCGGAATCTTCCACATAGCACCAGGGGCCCTCTGGGTCTTTGTCGGGGTTACGGCACTTGTTGCCCTGCAGACTGACCTCGGGGATGAACTCCTTGTCCTTGCTGAGGGCTGTTGCAACTGGCGATGACCACTGCAGACAGGTGTGGCCTCCCAGGGTGATGCCCAAGTTGCCAGTGTAATCTAAACCATAGTTTGGTAAACACTCACCGGTTTGGACCGGTTTAAGGGCCACAGTGGGTGGGACGAAGACCTCGCCTTGACCGGAAAAGGAAAGTGTGCATAGTTAAGCTTGTAGCTTCGCAGACAATTTGACAATCCTGCCCACTTTACACAGTGATTGGCCCGATGAGTGCAAGTATGAAAGTAGGCGGGGTTTTCCTGACAAAAATGGTCCAGTTTAAAGACCTTGTCTCCATTTGACCGATCGCTGCCCTGTGGCAGGTAAAGTACTTGAGTTCAGAGCTGCCTGTTTGCTCTCTGGTCAAATAAATTCAAACTGTTACTGAACTTGTCTTTGCAGGCAGAGCTTATTCCCATAGTGTGTATGACCCCTAACAAGCTCTACCAATTAAAATCTCTGTGAATCATATTACAGTTAGTGAAGTGTGACTCAGAGCTGTCTGAATCCTCCACTCCTACTGCTAATGTTCAGTTACTACTATTGGCATTAGTAACATTGTACTGTTCCATTCCTAGATTGTAGAGATCAAGAGCTAGTAGGATGAATATACATGAGTACCAGTGGTACTACTTCTTGTTGTTGTTGTTGTTGTTGTTATTAGTACTAGCAGATACTTACCACATATTGGTACCCTGCAGGTCTCTTTCTGGACTGTTGGGTCTTGAGTGAAACACCAGGGACCCTCTGGACTGTCATTAGGGTTTCGACAGAAGTTCTCCTTCAAGGTGCTGTTTGGTTCTGAGGCATTAAACTCCCTACAGACAGACAGGTAATTAGAAAGGTGAACAGTCAGATGGGTGAACAAACACGTCGTTTAATTGGCTGTCAGTGATTTAGTTTGTTACCTCATAATAGGATGTGGGAAGCTGTGTTTCCAGTGCTGACACAGCTTCCCTGATTTTGTGATGTTGATATATCCTTCATAGTTCGCCTCCTTGTCATAAATACAGTGACCTGAAAATACACATACCCGTACTCTGTCAGTTTATATGTACGTGTGTTTTCATAAGTTTGATCAGGCTTTAGGTGTTTTTTTTTGTTTGTTTGTTTTTTTTACCTGCTATACATTGTCTGACAGTGTCGACGCCTGTTTCGGTTCTGGTTATCTGAGTTCCTTTACAGACTGGACAGCAAACGGACAGGGAGTTAGATGGTTGTGTGCTCAGGCTGGTGTGTGTGAGCTGTGCTGGACTTTGTTCATGTTTGTAGTACACATAATGACATTACAAATTAAATATTGCACAAAGTTAGACCAGATCAGAAGTAAAGCTGTCAAAGAATACAAACAGCCGTGTATTAACCCTGGTACAGTTACAGTTTCTCTGTACAGGAAGCTTAGCTAGGCTAGCATTTTCCCTCTGCTTCCAGTCTTTAGGCTAAGCTATTCTAATCACCTCTGTCACTGCAGAAACAATAATGGGAGGCCACCATCTTTCATCCAAATTTAGCTTACATTTTTGCCCATCCTGTATGTTCCAGCAAACATTCTGGAAACTTTTCTCATCATCTCCTAATAAATTAGCTGCTGTTTAACATTTAATTACTGGGATATTTCCAGGAGAGGCTTACACAGTTCTGTGCTAACCATAAGAGAAATGGAGAAAGTGTGAGTTTCTAGAGTTAAGAAAAAAAAATATTCATTTCAATTTGTATGTATCTTGTATAGCGCCAAATCTTGACAAAAGTCAAAAGACACTTTACAAAGTAAAATCTAGACTTTACTACTACTATTATTATTATTATTATTATCATTATATAGGAAAAACCCAATTAATCCCCCTTGAGCAAGCACAGCGGGGATAGAAAAAATAGAGAATTATGTTGTAGTTCTGTGAAAAATAGTTCATAAATGGACGTCACTGTCCATGAGTTTCCTAGACAGATGAACACAAATCAGAGCAGTTCAGAATGAGGTTGTTGGCATTTAGTCACAAGTTTTTTCCACGCAGAAATTGAAAATGTTGATAGGAACAGGTGTGTGTGTGTGTGTGTGTCAGCAGTACTTACCCTGGTATTTCTCCCAGAATTTCTCCTGAAGGACAGAGTTTGTTTTCTGGTCAGGTTTATTGTTGTGATTAGAGGTTAATTATTGAATTAGGTCAGAACAAAGTGGAGTCGTACTGTTTTTTCCGTTTGCTCGAACACCTCTCTGGCTTCTTCATGGTCACAGATCTCCTCGAAACACTCTCTCTCCAGGTTTCCTGTAAGTGTAGAATAAAACATGCGAAGACATCGCAGTCATGGCCCCACCCCTGCGACACAGGAGTTTCACAGTCTGATCGTTTGGTGTCTGTGTGTGTCTTTGTGGCCATTCTGTCTCCTTGTGGTTGTTGTCCATGTCCTTATAGTCATGTTGCCTCATTGTAGTCATTTTGTTTCTCTTTGTGGCCATCTTGGATCTATTTGTGGTTTTGTTTATTGCTGTGTTTTGTGGTCATTTTGTATCTGTGGTTGTTTTCTGTCTCGTAGAGCGGGTCGTCTTCTAACCTGAGAGTTGGAACTGAACCCTGGGTGCTCGGGGTGTTATCACCGGTAAGCAAATTTGTGATTGCATGTGTGTGTGAATGGGAAATAGTGTAAAGTGCTTTGAGTGTGCTTCAGTTCATAGAAAAGCACTAGAAAAATAGTCACAAGAAAAAGTCACGGCACTCTTTGCAGTTTCCTGGTTTTCTCCATAAATTGGTCATGAAATCTTCACCAGAGTCAAATAACAAACACAGTATTTCTAAGCTGATAAAACACAGACAGTCCTGATCTTTCATGTCTTTGTTGAACGCACTCATTAAACATACACAGTGATGGTGGACAAAGTCAGGGCAACACCAAGCTTCTGATGTCACTAAAGGTCAGCTGGAGTCAGGTGTTAGCAAACCTGGAGTCCAGTCAATGAAGCGAGACTGGAGGAGTGGTTTAGTGCTACCCTGACTTATGAAAACATTCAGACAGTGTCAGTGTGCTGTTCACAAGCAGCATCAGCTGATGTGAGCCAGGCCTCACTAAAAAGATCTCAGAAGAGCTATGCTCAAGAGTTGTTGATCTGCATGTAGCTGGACAGGGTTACAGAGTCATCTCACTGACTTTAGATATTCACCATTCGACAGTTAGACATACTGTCTATAAATGGAGACAATTTGGTGCTGTGGCTTCTCTCCATAGATGTGGGCGCCCAGCCAGGATCACTCTAAAGGCCCAACGCAGAACGATCAGTGAGGGGAAAAATAAGCCCTAGAGTAACAGCTAAAGACCTGAAGGATTCATTGGAGCTGGTTAACATCTCTGTTCATGAGTCAGCCAAATGCTAAATAATGAACAGGCATGGTAACCAGGACACCACGGAGGAAGCCACTGCTCTCCAAAACCAACACTGCAGCAGCCTGAAGTTTGCCAAAGACCACCCTGACACTCCACAACACTACTGGGAAAATGTCCTACGGACAGATGAAACCAAGGTAGAACTGTCTGGGAGGAACACACAGCGCTATGTATGGTGTGAAGAGAGAACCGCATACCAACATGAAAACATCATCCCAGCAGTGAAGTACGGTGGAGGATTATCATGATCTGGACCTGGACCACTTGCCACTCTGGAGTGAAAATGAATTCCCCAGTTTATCCAGGTATCCTATAGGATAATGTCAAGGTGGCTGTCAGCAAGCTGAAACTCTGAACAAATTGGGTGAGGCAGCAGGACAATAAACCTCAACATCGAAGTAAATCTACTACAGAATGGCTTCAGAGAAACAAAACCTGTCTTTTGGAGCAGCCCAGTCAGAGCCCAGACTTCAACCCAACAGAGACGCTATGAAACGCCCTCAAGACGTTCACACCAGATGTCCTGAGAATATGTCTGAGCTGAAGCAGCTCTGTCAGGAAGAATGGTCCAAAACTCCTCCTGAACGTTGTGCAGGTCTGATCCACAGCTACAGGAAGCGCTGTAGCTTAGAAATGTTGTGTTTGTTGATATTTGTGACTTTGGTGAAGATCGGGTCACATTTCATGACCAGTTTATGCAGGAAACTGCAAACGGTGCCATTACTTTTTCATGCGATTGCAAAAGACCATTTACCATTTGTTGTTTTATCTTTTCTGTTGTGTCTGTTGTTATGTTCTGTCTTCTTGTTGCTGTGTTATCTGTTTTGTAGCTATCTTGTATCCCTTTGTGTGTATGTTTTTGTTGTTTTTCTCTTCATAGTTTTTGTGTGTTTGTCATAATTTTGTCTCCTTGTTGTTTCATATTTTTGTTCTTACGTTGTTTTGTCTCTTGATCATTTCCTCTCTTGCTGTTTTGATTGACGTTCCAACATGAAATATTAACATTCACTTCTAGGTGTGTGGCGAGATTTCGTGCCACTGCGTCTGCTCAACACAGTCCAGCAAAAATACAACTTCTGCTGTGTTTTAACACACGGGGCTGCGTTGGTCGGGGGCAAGGGGCTGCAGGGGGAGTGCTGCAAGTGTGATACGGCCACGTTGTGATGAGTTGATGTGGCTTCATTCACATTTCCAGCCCATGAATTTCCATTGTGTTTTGGTTAGCCATGCTGCTAACGTAGCCTACTCTACCTTTCCACTAATTCTACCACCTGTGTGTCGGGATTGATAGATTAAAAAACACAGTTTAACATCCAGTGCTAATGAAAATGCATCGCGTGTCGTTATGGTGTGTTAACTGCGCCCCAAATCCTACAGTGAATAGTAGTTAATACTCATGCTAAGAAAGTAAACTAAAGAGTCTCCTTCCCGTGGGTGTCCATGTCCCAATCGTCCCCTATATCTGATTGGTCAACCCAGTGCCTTTGCCGGATGATGTCACTGTCTAGTGCGGTGCAGTTAGCGTGAAAATAGTTCAGAAAGTCACACACAGCAAAACCTTTAACAGTGCTGCATATTGTTGTCTTTTACTGCATGTAATAATTCACATTCAGGAAGTAGAACTGAAATGACATTCAGTACAAGATGATTAGTTAAAACATTTCAAAATGCATCTAGAGACTTTCAGTCACTGAGGAGTTCTTAAAAATAGCATTATTGTATCAAGTACTGTCTTGTCTCGTGAGCTGAGTGTATCATCACACCCGACTCACTTCCGGTTGAACCTTGACCCCTGGGGCCCATGATCTACCGAGGCTTCTCAAATGAGTCAGAACTACTTTTCTGTCCACTTGTCCATAAACTACGAATGTGTACAACCTTGACAATGGAAAGTCACTGCTGTAACACAGTAATCCACAATACTGAACGGTTGTAGATCACTGATTTAGACCTTTTAAACAGGTAACATACCTGGTTTCAGCTCCTCAAACACTTGATTTGCCCTCCGGCTGCGGACCAACAGCTGCGAGGCCAGCTGGCTGCTGAGGAAAACTACAAAAAGAAAAATCATCGGTCCTGTTGCACAGTCATCCTCCAGTTTAGTAGCTTCTCCTCTGCTGTATGCTTTTTAAGAGGTGTTGCTACAGTTTTGTCCACTCATTTACACAATGTCAGAATAAGTAGTACTGTAGAATAAAACATCATCACCTTTGTGAAGCAGGATTTACTGCAGAAACTACTAGCTGTATTGCTTTTAGCTAGGGTAGCTAATCAGGTAATCATGGTGTTTAAATTTATTGAAATTAGGTTACTGTTACATTACTGTATTACTGTTGTTGTTACTATCATTACTGTGATGGGTTACAGATGGTTCTGGTCATTAGTAGAAGAAGTATTCAGATCCTTAAGTAAAACGTTCTGTGATTTAAAAATACTTTATTACAAGTAAAAGTCTTGAACTGAAAAATTATGTAAAGGTAACCAAAATTTGTTAAAGGTACTGAAAGTAAAGTAGTCATGATTAAACAAAGTCCCCAGCAACTGAGTATTTGTATTTGTCAGTAGTATTTTAATGCTGTGTAGCAGGGCGCGGTGGAGCTGGTTTGAATTACACCATTAACAGGTGGTAGTTAGTTTGTGACACGTTTATAATGATCATAAGTTCTATATCTAAAATCTGGAACTCAATAGCACAGTATTTCCTTATAATTTGCACTGGAAGAAGTATAATGTAGTGTGTTATGTAATGGAAATAATCAAGAAAATACAAAATTGTACTTAAGTTCAGTAGTTGATTACTTGATCCAGACATAGAACTATTTCTTCACAAATCATCCAGAGGTAGTTTAAATACATTTAATCCTACCTTTTTTGTTTCTGTATTTGCAGTCATGGCTGTAAAGCACTTCAAGTTGCATGCACCAAAATACAAATTTTATCACAGCTTATTTCAGTTTATAATGTACTACCACTGCCACTACTTCTACCTCTGCTCCCAGTATTACTGACACTTTCTAGTACTTTTCCTACTTGTATTAGAGCTAGTACAGTGACAACTTGTACCACAGTAATGAGGAGAATGAGATCAAGCCGCGTTACCATGGTTTGCCAGGCAGCCGTGCAGTAGAATCAGCAGCAGAGCAGCAGCTGGTTTCATTGTGGGCCCCACTGTGATCCAGACGTCCGAGCTCAGAACCAGATCAGCACAGTCCTTCAGTGTCTCAGTGTGTCGCTTTGTGTTCAGGGCAATATTGACCAGAGGGTCAAAGTATGAGTCCTCAGGCTGAGTGGGACATGTTTGTTTTGACTCAGGCAGCTGCACGTCTCTGATGTAGGACACGCAGTAGTCAGTTTGTTAGGAACCCCTGTCTCACACTAAGACAGGCTAATCTAACAGTAAATCCTTCTCCACAACAGTGATGATGATCAGTTTGTTCAGACTGTTTCACAGAGGTGTTGATTCAGCTGTGTGATCACTGTGGAGGCTGCACACTGGGCACTTTACTGACAGGTGCTTCTATTACTGTAGATACTACACACCCAAACTGACCTTTTAAGTTGAATTTTTTTTGTTGTGATAGATGCATAAAGTGTATAATAGAGACATAATTTGCCTTGAGCAATATCAAACTTGTTCTTTTAGCACGTCTTTATATTTTGAAATTTCTCTGAGGTTTTAACAAAACTTGAGACCAGTCATATTAGCTGTGAACAGGAACTCTGTTTTCAGATTTTTTTTTTTGATTTTCTGATCACCTGACAGTGTAACATCACCTGCTGTAGGCTGGAACATCCTTCTTTGTCCATCCTTTACTTTTCATATTCTTAGACAGATCAACTTCATGACACCAGCCGTTATAGTAGATTAAAACTTGTGAATTTCATAAGTGGCAATAGGTTTCCATTTAATATTCTAGCTGTCACAGCAAGAGCGCCACCTTTGTCTGAAATGTTCCTTACTCTCTGTTGTGTGGCTGCTTATGTTTGGTGCTTCGGCTTCTTTTATTGAACAAAAATGAGCTTTTTGTAGAAAAATGTACATATTTTCCACAGTGTGATATTGTTAAAAGCCTTGTTTTATGTATAAAATATTAGAAGCACAGTATTAAATTAAGTTAAACCAGCGCTATTCCCAGAGTGATGTTAAGCTTGGTTTAGACCCTGTTAGACGCTCGTTCCAGGACATCTGCTCTTTTGTAGATTCAGGAGCCTTTCTGTATGAAACTGGACTTTCCAGTTTTAGCCCCTGGAGTAACACTGATAAAATATTTGTCTCAACCATCACTGCGACATCAACAGTGACCGTATGAACTTTTGTTCCTGAGCTGTTTAGAAATTCGTCATCAGTGTAAATGAGCAGGTGATGTGTGGGATGCTGCTTGGATCAAAGGTCAGGGCTCTGTCTCTGTCTCTGTCACGTTTCCTCGGCTCACACTTTTAAAACATACCGGATACACATATCAGTTAACAGAAAAATTAGCAACATAATGGCAGAGAAAACTAAGGGTTAGAAAGAAATGTAGTGTTAAACACACTCTGGGTCTGTATTGATCCAACTTGTGGCTGACCCAGCACAGATCTGAGCAAATATTTACTGAGGTGAAAGTCTCTGGTCAGGTTTCATACTTGGACACCAAACAAAAACTCAGTTATTACCAGCTCATAGAGGCTGTAATGTTCGTTACCACATTACACACAGAAGCAGATCTCCTGGTGTCACTGAGTAAGGTTGATTGTGGTATTTGTGCTGCAGATTTGTCTGAATGTGATCTGAAGAGAGACAAGTTAATTCAGGAATAAATAAAGCAGAATAACTAAGGAGACAAGTCATAACAGTGACTTGTTTTCAGCTGCATGTGGAGCTGATATTTATTTTGTAAAATAACGCAGTGCATGAGATCTCTATTTTGAAAACAGGAAGATGTAGCAGGTAATTTCCGCAAAACGAGTAAACAAATTCTGCAGCACCGGGCTGAGGCAAGTTTCAGTCTGTGCTGAGTTACTTCATTCTTTTTCTCAGAGTTCTTAATTTTTCCCTTGTCTTCATATTTTAACCCAAACATTTCCCATCTTTGTCCTCAGGTATCATGTCTCTGATTGTGTTGTCCATCCTGTCCTGCGACCATTGCAGCAACCTGATGATGTGCAACAAATGGGCCCCAAACTATTGGTGGGCAGCCATGGTCTGGAGGGGCTGGGGACCAGCTGCTCGTTGATATGGACGGAGAAATTGTTCAGGTGTGTTGGACACACGAGGAATTTGACTCCGGTAAAGTGGCTCTCGGTGTGCATATACCATGTTCTTCTGTAGGGCAATGAGTAAGCAAGATAAGACGGAGAGAACAAGAAAAGAGAAAGAATGTCTATTAGGAAAACAAAGATAGAGTAGTTATAAATATATATGCACACACAGTTTATATTGTTGTATGTTTATATATTTTAGTTTTGGACGTTTGTTGCAAATTGATCAATTTGCATACAACTTCAGGTAGGGTTGTACTATTCAATTGTAAGGCTGGAACCATCTTTTTCATTATCAATACATCTGACAGGTGCTTTCTTGAATAATCAGTTGATTGTTCAGTGGAAAGAATTGAACTGTTCTCTAAGCTGAAGTAAGTTTATTTTTAAAGTCCTCTTTTATCAAAATGTGTAGTAAATAGTCATGTTTATGAAACTGGTGATCCTTTCTGTCCTTGGTTTCATCTTTCAGGTTCTGATCATTGCTGCCCTGCATTTCATCTGTCAGCTGGGTCCTATCAGATGCCCAGTGGCTCACCACAGAGTTTCACATCCTCTACATGGTCATCACCATGGCGGTGTGTTGCCTTCTCTACTGGATGTCGTATGGCGTCATTGTCATGATGGCCACCTTCTGTCAGCCACGTCTCTTCAGCCCCTTCGCCAGCATTGTTCTGTTGATCCTCGCCAAAAGTAGTACCGTCATTTGACTCTGTGATCTACTTCCTCATGAAGGAACAGGTGACACAAACACACCTGTCGCTATGTCTAAGTGGTAGATTCTTATATAGAAAAGTAAAATAACATTTGTTCAAATGATCCCAGGAATTAAATTTTTGTTGCAGAGAAGATTTTCATTCACCATACAATGTAATTATTTGCTATATGCTATCAGTACTAACGCACTGAAGAAAAAACTAAATTTAGAAAAACATTTAAAGAAAAATTTTGTCAAGTATAAACTTATAGAAATATAAAATAAAAAATGAAGAAATTGAGCAAGAAAAATATAGTAAAATGAAACAATGTCGAGACAGTGAGACAAAATTAATTTAAAAATAAACATCAAGAGTCATTAAAGAGAGAGTTTTTCTGTCTTGTGAAAGTTGAAAGAAGGACCAGGACTCAGCAGTTCCCATTTCAGATAGTTTACTTCACAAGTGAACAACAGCATAGATGCATCTTAAATGTACAGTATTACAAAGACACTGGTAATACTTACACAAGTCCCTGATATTACCCTAAATTTGTCCTCATCTTTGTACCCAACATGGCAACCTCTGACCCCACACAGAAACCCAAAGTTTCATACAAAACAGACTTAATGGACAGCAAATGAAGATGTCGTGTCTAAATCCTCTTGAGCTATGTGAGCTTGTAGGTCTCATTTCAGCCTGCAGATCATATCTGGTTGGGTACAGCAGATTTCTGCTTGATCAGTGGGGTTTTGTTGCATTCTCATTTATTCTGATTTCATAACAACAAATATGTGAATAGCTGGGCGGAGCGTGGCAGGTCATAATAAAGCACAGTGGAGCAGGAAGAGGGAGCAGTGGGCAAAGCAGAGTTGACTGATTTGGGCCATCATGCTAGTGCTACCTTAAACGTAGGGTTGGCGATTCTTTTCAGAAGCATTTTTGTTATATTTCTTGAAATTTTCTTTTCATCCCAATGGCAATAAATACATCAGCACCATCTGTGGCAGCAGCAGGGCTGTAAACTCCTGACCAGTAATTTCACCCGGTCAGAGCAAAACCATTGGATGGCCTACCTGCCTCTCAACCTAACTTCCTACTTGGGCGAACTCTGCCTTTGCACTTATTGCACGAGCCACGAGTCTCCCGAAAGGACAAAGCAGGCAGACGTGTTACTGCTGTGTTTTTACAGGTAAAGGTACCCACAACAGCTTACAGTCCCAAATGCAGACCGCATTCGAAAAAGTTGCAACTAAAAAGAAGTTGGATGCTACAAGAAGTAAAACCAGAATTAACACTGAATCTCAGAATCAGCTTTACTGGCCAAGTGTGTCAGACACACGAGGAATTTGACTCTGGTACATCTGCTCTCAATGTGCATGTACATATCCCCATGCAAGGGCCAAGTAAACAGTAAACCAGCACAAGGCTGTGTGATATAACAAAAATAAACAGTATAAACAAGCAACAGACAGTTCATACAATGCAAAATAAGCAGTATAGACACGCAGTAAACAATGCAGACAGACAGACAAAGGAATGCTCATTGAAATGAGATAAATAGGAATAAAAATAGAGTATTTAAAACTAGAGACCTGTATGAATCTGTATAATCTGTACAAGATATATTTACAGGTATTTCACTGAGGGTTATTGTCCAATCATACTATCGTGGGTTAAGTGTTTATTAGAGTGACAACCTGTAAGTAATCTGTAAGTACTCAAGGCAGTGTGTGTTCTTTCAAAATCCAACTTCCTCTTGCTGTTTTTTTTCCAGGAATGTCAGCTATACCTTTTAGGTTACATATTGTAACGTCAAGTTTTTAATTTAACAATAGAGTATGTATTAATTTTAAAAATGATTTGTTAAAACAATTTCATTCCTTTTTAATGCCACAGGTTTTCTTCATTTTTATTAATTATTTTTCAGTTTTTGTTGTAGCTACGGTATATTTTGTGTTGTTTTCCTCTCTTAATACTAGGCTTACTAGTAGTGTTAGCAATGAGCTCATCCACTGTGCAGCCGGACCTGCAGCGCCCTCCAGTGGCCACAGTCAATAGCTACACTCTGCTGACTGAGCAGGAGGAAGACCATGAGCTTTGCTCAAAAACACATTCTAAACATGTTTATGTCTCTGTCACATTAAATTATTACAACTTTATTTCTTAATATCAACTTTCACCTCATAAAATTACATTTTTCTCTTGAATTAGTACTTTTCTTTTGTCTCAAGGTTTTTCCAAAAAATATATTTTAAGTCTGAAAATGTCAGATTTTCCTTCACAGCAGCTTGTGCGTTTCACTGTGGACTTCTTTGTATTCCAGCATGTGTACTGTGTTGCTGCCTACATCTGTGGCTTGTCATCAGCTGGACGTTCATCATGTGATCAGCAGATTCTCGGTTACGCTTGGGTGTTTCACCACTCCAGCTGAAGACACACGGTCAGTCTGTTATCTCTGCACTTTAACCCCAGTTGTTGACTTTCTTTATCACTGTAACCTTTATAACTTTCATTTCATCAATGTAAAGTTACTGTCAGGTCTTTTCATTCACTGTGTTAGCGTAGAACTGTTTGATGCACTAACTCGGTATTTCCATTTACTTGTCTTTAATAATTGTTTTAATCCTTTAATCTGTAAAATGTTACATTTCACAGCAGAACTGATAATTTGATGTGTCTACAAAACCATTTCTGTCAAAAAATGGATCAACTAACCAATACTGGATCAAACAACAGATCTGAACTTTTTGAACGTCAGGGTGTGGTGACCAACTGCAGCGGAAATCAGAACATCACCACAGCTCGGCTTGTATTTAAACTGACAGTTTGTGCAGGGAGTTTTCAGCTTGAACGTTAAACTGAATAACATTTTCTAACTTAAAATCCAGTGAAAGTCATTTAGACTTTTGTTTCATGGCTTGTTTGTGTCCAGATGATATCAACGTAGTATAATATTATGAATTTTTTTCTTGAAATATTTCAACTTTGTGCTAAAAAAAATATTTACACTAAATATTTGTAACACGATTCTCAAAGTATGGAGCAGGACCTGCCTGCAGACAAGATGGTGGAAAGGTCAACCAGAAGTTGTAAACGTTTTCCAGGAGCTGGGTTAGCGTTAAAACTAACTCCTGCCATTTTGTCTATTGGGATCATTTTGCTCTCTGAGAACAAAAGTAATCTGTTCTTGCAGCTTTTGTTTAATCTGAATGTATTGACTATTTCAGTGTCATGGAGCGTAAACTGGATCTTTCCCGTCTGACCGATGAAGAAGCCAAACATGTGTGGGAGGTGATTCAGAGAGATTTTAACCTACGAAAAAAAGAAGAGGAGAGACTCGGGTACGTTCACAAACCCATTCACCTGTAGACAGCCCATTTTAACAGGGTCTATAATAATGTCCGTGGGAGCCAGGATGATGAGAGCAGCTGCTTGTGAAGACAAACTGAGTCTGGCTTATGTGAAGTTTGCAGGAATGTGACTGTGAAAGACACCATTGTTGTTGCATTTGATCACGGCTCAGTCACATGGACCCAAGTCTGCAGCACAAACAGTAAATGCACAAAAACCCCTGTGTTTCACAAAAGACTCCAACTCCCATCAGCCCTGGGGGCGAACTGACAAACAGCTGCAGGGAGAGTCTGGGTTAAAGATATCCTACAGAAACATCTGTGATGATCAATAATGACTTGATTCAGTTTGAATGGATCAGTAACTGATTATCACTGTGTGGAAACATTCATACAGAAAAAATAGAAACATGCTGAGCAAGTCAGACAGTATTTCAGTTTTATTTCCAATACAGATGTCTTTTTTAATCATACATTATCAGCTACAGTATTTACACTGGTGTTCAGCATGAAAACTAAGATATAAAAACAATGAAAAGTGTTTAACTGATTTAAAAAAAAAATCATCCTACTGCTACAAAATGTCACAGATATTGTAGAAGCTGCTTTCTAGTTTTTAAAGCAGTAAGAGTTCATCTCTCATTAGTGCCAATCTTTACGAATGTATCTGTGACCAAGCTACATGAAGAGATTCCCACATTACCTTCCAGACTGATGACAACAGTGGAGGCTCCTGAACTTTAAAAGGTCTTTGAGGTTTGTCTCTGTAGCCTTACACTTTCAGTTTTAAACTTGTAGGCCACAGCATCACAACTGTTTGATGGTCAGGTTCTTGTTGTGGACCACTGAGGGATCAGTTCTAGCATTTAAATGGAGCTTAGAGGAATCTCAGAGTGGTGAGTGTGTGTGATACTAAACAGCAACAGATGTTGACAAGTACACAGGAGTGTGTTTCATCGAGGTGAATGTGGACATTTAGTGTCATTATCACATGAAACACTGAGGGCACACTGTTCATTCACAGCATGTTCGCTCAGATACAGCTGTCACAGCTGTTCGAACTGGTCAAGAATGTGCTCATTTTAATGACAAATAATAGGAATGTTAACTAGGTTACTGTAAGTCTACTGATCCTGTATGTCGGCCAAGATTATCAAGTTTATTTAGTGTCTCCATCGTCAGCGGCAGAATGAGCAGCTACTGTGTGCAGTGCCCCCCGTGGACATACACACAACTGCCACTAAATCCCTGTGACACTGAAGGAAACGTAAATACATGAGGGTTCTCGGGCAGGTTTTCCCCAAAACCTGAGCAGAAACTCTTTTGCCAACTTTCTCTAGAGCAGTGGTTCTCAAACATTTTTTGTCATTCCCCACTTAAGAGGGTGGGCGAATTTTTAAGCCCCACTTGACAAAAAATTATAACGAAATTGGCCAGTTTTAAAATTTCAAATTGATTGAATTATCAAATAACACTAAGTTGAAAACGGATAAAATATAAGTGCAACTGTATCGTTTGACAGGGGGATAGTTTTCAATTTTGCAGCACCTGTCTCATCCAGCATAATCGACACCATGTCTACAGCAGCAGGGAGAATGAGCTGCTCAGCAATTGACTGGGGTGTGTTGTCTCTAAATGTCTTCTTAATTTGTTAGGTTTCATGTTGTCTGCTGCCAGTGGTTTAAGACACAAGACACACATGGGTCCCTCCTCTGCCCCCACCATTCCTACCGTGAATCCAAGCGAAAGATAGGCTTCATCA